ATTCAGTTCAATTATCAATTATTGAGGCACTAAATATTTACTAGACTAACAATCTATTATAGAACTACTGAATTGATTTTCGTCTATTAATAGTGCCTCTTATTAATTAAGTAGTAAATCTACTCACCGTAGAATATTCCCTACAAAAATACAACACAGTAGTCGCACTCAAAACGTAACCGCTAGGAAAAATCAATGGACTTCATGTTCCATAGGGATCCTCTTAACTCCCGACCCCCTTTCATAGGTTTGTTACTAACATGTTTCACAGTTTAAAAATTTACCAAAAGCGTGTAGGTACTGTAACTATCTGAACCGAAGCTTTCATTTGATTTTACCTAATCTTCAATAACTTAAAAAAGCATTCGAGCTACTACCTTAAAACGAATCCTTTAGGCTTTCTAGTTATGTTAAAGAACATTACCAAAGGCCACCTTTTGTGATTTTAATAATTTACATACAGTATCATAATTTTAAATGCAGTACGTGTGTGTGGTTTATGCGTGAAATTCCATACACAAATGGTATTTAACATAGTAAACATGACAAGATTCAAGTGTATGTTTAATGGATCTCAAGTTATTAAACACCATATCAATAGTTAAGTTCACCTCAATAGACAGACGATTACTTAACTTCGATCGATGTATGTGTGGAAATATGTATTTTCTGGATGCAAGAAAAGAATCCACAATGAATCAGAAAACCTTGAGACGCTATAAAATATTGTGAGAATCTATCTCTCCTTGAGGATCAGATCTTGTTTTGTCGTTGAATGGAGTTTTAAATCGATTTGCACCGCTTGACCTTAAAAGCTTTGGTGTTTCTTGACATAAAATGCTCTTTCCCTGGAGGGGAAAATATGCTCATGCTGTCGTAGGTGGCATTGCATGCATTTTAGGAACTGAGAAGTATGTTTTCGAGTTGCTCTTGAATAATAAATCTGTGGAATTTCATATTAAGATTTCAGATGTATAAAACATGTTTAACTTTGCTTAATCTTGTTACTCGTACCTGTATAATGATTTTTGTTGTAGTGAACTGTTTAACATAACATCAACCCTTCACGAATCATAAACTGGACTTGGAAAAAGTTATTTTTAGTTTCTAAATTGCACAATTCCCCAAATAACATTATTTATATTAGATATTATTTCTCTTTGTCCATTATTCGAAGAGTCATGATAGGTTTTCTCCCACTATTTGAAGAGTAAAACCTTAACGCCAAAAACCAACAATTTACTTCCTATTTTGGAACAAGGCAGTTTTCGACACGACAGCAACCAAATTCTCTAATCGTCTATGTTTATTCCCTTCTTTGGGGAAAATTGTGTCGTGATGAGGCATGATGAAGCATGACTCGTGTTATTTAAGAACAATAAATTTCCCCAACTTCTACATAGTATAATTTTGTAATAGTATATTTGATAGGTTTTATCATTGTTGTCGATAGTTGGGTCAAGTCCAATCTAATTACGTTTAACAATACGATGGTGCAGTGCAGTGGACTTGAATTGAAATTCCACTCCATTGGCAAGTAAATTGAAATTCCACTCCATCGACAAGTAAATTGAAATTCCACTCCATCGACAAGTAAATTGAAATTCCACTGCATCGACAAGTAAATTGAAATTCCACTGCATTGACAAGTAAATTGAAATTCCACTTATTACCTCTACGCATTTTCTATTGAACTTATTGATCAAAACATCAAGTTTTCTCCATTAGTATCATATTAGACTCAGGTTTAATTTTTTTACAGTTGAGTAGGTCGAAATTCAAACTCAAAGATATAGCCTAAGCACTAAGCCAATGTTTAATCTGCTGTTTACTTAGCTTATTTCCCTTCCTTTCCAATTAATGTAGTACATCATTAATTGTAGACCATCTGTGGTAGTAGCATTGTAGCCTACTACGCTACATCATGTTAAATTAAACATAGACACAATAAATAACATAATTTTCAGTTCTAGGCCTAATGATAAAGGTTTTTTACAAACACTCTCGGAAAATGTATTTTACTAAAATCTGCTTCTATTCTATTGTGTTCTTGTGTTGTTATATATAATCCTTGTCTCAAAGGTACCGATGGAATTTGTTGGGAATCCTTTGACCTAATTGGTTTTTTAATAATTATACTTTATTTGTTGAGTGGTTATAGTGCTGTGCGTGTCTAGCATCCAAAACATCGCCTGTTCGATCCATTGAAAACGGCGTACCTCTTTGATGGCTCGAAACTGGACCCAGCTGTGCTTGATCATTGGACTAAATAAAATGGTCCAGGATAATGAAACAGCTGGTCTTAGTCAGTAACAAAGCTACACAGATCATCTCACTCCATTCTACACTCATCCTTCGCCTTCACTCATATTTGGCTTCAAATACGCAACTATGGGGGCGTCCCTTTCTCATTGGTAATGACCTGGGTGTCGTAAAAAGAAACTTTTTATGCTAAATTAAATCCCAAGAATTTTACAAATATTTCAACCACCGTCATCATACTTAATCTATATATAAAATCAAATCTTAAGATGAATTTCATCATTGACTATACTCCTCTACAGGGATAAGTGTACAGTCAATGGTACCCTATAGCCTATAGGTATCAATGTATAGGTAGAGGTGTAGTCAATGATTTAATGATTACATACTGTTCTCATTTCAAACAAATTCGATACAACGCTTCACAGTTGAAGGTAACCAAGTAAAAACACCCGTTACGAAATTACCCATAGTGCAATTTCTTTGTGGAGGTATCAAGCCGAAGCAGACAAAGCACAGGTGAATGCAGTTGGCATTACTGTCGTCAACAATGGCTGACTATGCAGTCAGTTGCATCACTCCACTGCCAAGTGTTTTGTCTGAATTAAACGCTGGGCTGATTGACCTGTTTATTGACAGTCACATTTCAAAGTCAATCAGAACAGTTCAAACCTATTGAATATGGAACTGCAAGGTTCAAGTTGTGTTTTGAATGTTTCGTCATTATTGTTTTGATTTGCATCAGCTGATGTTTAAAATACTTGTACATTGTCGTAAAAGGTTCAGCCTTATTGTTGGTTTGAGGAAAATATTCAAATAAAGTACCTTTCTTGACCGTACTTATTGAATTGCAATTACGAAACTATTTTTAGAGGTGTTGTGATTTTATTTGTCCACCCACCACTAAAATGAGGTCGAGTATAGTCATTCTTTTACTTTCATCTCTGCAAATACTTTCTTGTGGATTTTATTTTCTCCAAAATATTTTGACGAAATGTTCTTTTTTATTAATGTAAACCTTTCTCCTCATGGTGGAAGGCTTTCTCCTAAGTAATTCCAAACTAAATTATATATTTCGGTATTATTATATGTGTGCCGGTACCCTACCGTAAACATTGCAGAGAACTCGATTCTTGAGTATACCAATCCAAATAAATCATTTCGAAACAGTTAAAATCAGCCCGTGACAATTGATCATGTTATTAAGTTCTCGTGTACTTTTGTTAAACAAATCTCACAGACGATTTTGTGGATTTACAAAATATTTCACGTAGTTTTACCTTTTGTGTTACCTAAGTAGGTACTAGTGTAACATCAACTGCTCCAGCTGCAACAATCAAGCATTGACTTTTTATACTTTGTATACTTATTATACTATTAGATGTCCATTTTGATTTATCCGTTTCGTCTAGTTATACTTCGAATTGTATCCACTAAAATGGTTCTCTCTTCTTGTGTGGATAGTTACAGTGTGTAACTCTTTCTTTAGTTACACCAATACCAATGCCAGAAGACAATCAATAGTTATAGCCTATACCCCGTCCACAATACATGGTTCTAAAATGGTCTTCATAGTTTTTCTGTGTAGCCTAGTGTCGCAGGTTTGACTCACGTGACGGAAAAATAACAAGAAGTATAAAAAGACATTGAACTCACTTTGAAATCATACACGCTATAGGCTACTTAAATATTTTACTTCGTCTCTTTCATATGACGAGTGTAATCTTTGGTATACCACTTCGAACTCGACGTAACCAGCTGATTCGCGTCTACATTAACATTTTCTGACGCAACTTGTGTAGTATTACCAGTTTTATTTCACCGTACCTTGTCTTGTTGGGACGTTGGAATGGAAGTGGATGACGAAACGCACGACCTTGTCGCCCTTGTCGGGGCTTTCTTCCTGCTCTCTGCTGGCGTGCAGCGCCGGCTCGGCCTTGTATCAGGGGTGTGGCAATATGCATGTAAACACTGGCATGTAAACATTGTTTAATGCAACGTTACAAGTAAAACAACCATCTTCTTGTCAAACTGTTTGATTTCGTGGAATGGATATACGGTTTTACAAAAACTCCCAACATTTCCACTCATACAGCAAATTTTGTTAGTAACTAAAAACCTCTGTCATCGTCACTGAATAAATAATCAGCCGATTGGTTATCTCCTGATGCATCATGGACTATCGTTGGCTTGGAATACCTCTAACTGCGTGGTAGTTGCACTCAAAACTCCATCATATGAAATGTTCCTGTGTTGTTTTAAGGTTAGGGCAAGGTGTGTAGGGGATGGAATCGCACAAGCGTCTACAGCTACAGCATGACTTGATCACAGATCACTGATCACTTATTGCAAACGAAAAAACTGGCCAATGAATATGAGAACTAGTTTTCTTGATGACGTATGCTTTATGCTATATGTCGTCTGTTTTGTTTCGCTTTGTTTCTATACCAATTTTTGGATATAAATAATGTTCTGTCAGCGTTAGGCCTATCTCAGTTCTAAAGCTACTAATGAGGCCAATTAGAACTTATTTTCCAAACTACACCGGTCTACATGCAATCTCGGGCCAAAACCCCCGATATGGCCTCAGATAGGCCACGCGGAGTTTTTGCCCTCAGTCGGCCAAGTGCCAAGACAAACCTGACCCCGACTATAGCGTCTCTTTGGCACCCCTCCATAGACCCTACCCTCCTCCACCTCCCAGCGAAGTCCACAGCTTGCGCCACAGTTGGACTCTGACCATCGCAAACTTTCCGCGACACCAAGGTCCGGGAAGTGAAGATGAAAAGTGTCCGTTTTGCCCGGCTAGTGTCGTCTATTTCCTGGTATTTTCGGACTAGCGTTTATAAATAGTGCTCTTGTTTTAGGTTGGTGGATATTTTTGAAATGTCAGTGTTGTGAATTAGTTGTAAGAAGTCATCATTGAAAATAGGGATTTTTTATAAGAATATTTGGTTAATGACGAATTTCAGTTCGACAGTTTATTTGAAAATAGTTTTCTCATTTGGAAAAAGAATTTTCTCTCTTTGTGTTTGCATTGGTCATACAAAATTTTTATTTGTTCAGTAATACCGGTACTACATTTTATGTACTTTGCAAGTATATATGTAAATAAGAATACTGTTGTATATTATTTTGCAATAAGGCCAGTAATTGTTGTTAAAACTCATATCAAAATGTTTAACCAAGGGAACTAAAAATTCTAGAAAGTTATAAAAAGTAGCATATAAATTAACTATATCTATTCTATAAATTAATCTGTATGAAAAATTAAAAGAAAAATCCTTTATTTTTTCAGGCAAAGTTAGGGCCACATGGCTCATTTTTACATTTAACCTGACATACATAAATATATAGAAATAGGAATACAATGGAATTGCTTGATCTAATTAAACATTTTTATATAACAATTTAAGTACATATCTCAGAAAAAATAAAAACATGCAAATTATTTAACAAAAAACACACACACATTTACAAATCTATCATGGAGTTATGAGAAAATTTCACAGGTGTAAAACACAATGCTATGAAACGATTGTATGTTTTTTCAATACCAATCTTCATTTTAAAAACAAATTTAAATACTCAACTGGGTTCAAAAATATTCCTTAAAAGTTTTCACATAAGAGACAAACAAGCTATTTCCTTGATACCCTAAAGTATTCTTGGAGTTGGATGGATTTTGGCACACACCCCATGAGGTGTAGTGTATTTTGGTACTCATTAATTAAAAATAAAACAGATGAAATGTACAACGTCTTCCTTGTCTTTATTGACTACTAGGCTTGTAAATTTAACATGAAGTTATATGCTGATGATTAAACTACATTAAATGGTCCTGTGACATCCACCAAAATAACTATCTCTTCTGCCTTCTATAAAATGCTTGGCCATGAATACACTACCAGGAAGAAGAAAGCCCATTACATCGTTATGAATCGTTGTTACTAGTTCATAATGAAAAGACAATAATATAAGTTATATAGAACCACTGGACAAGTGAACTGATGTAAAATACAGCAGTTTTATTTCTTATACAAAATCTTTTTAATGAATCTAATCAATTGTTGACTTGTAAACTCTGCCCTGCTCTTTTTGGAGCCATCAACGTCACAAAATGAGAAAGTACCGTACTTTATGAGATGCTCAAATTAGGTTTTCTTTGAATGCTTACAGTGTTATGTGACGTAGAACAATCCAACAGTCTATATGCATACTACCAGTCAGTGGGTGGGTTAAAACGTTGGCACCTTAAACAGCTAGACAGCAGTAATAATTTGATGTCACTGGCTCAGTTGCGGTAGCGCCACAGACTTTGGGTCTAAGGCAGCGATGTCGTGGGTTAAGATCCTGAAACCTGTCATTACTTTTTATCAGTACAAAATTAACAGTACTGTACTGGCCTACCCCTTGCTTTGCTGGATATGTTCCACTCACAGCTTCATAGCCTGTTAACGGGCAAATGCAATGTAAAAAAGGCCACAAACCTAAAAAAAACATCGGCACACTCTGTTGATGCAATTCAACTATTTTCGTTAGAGTTTAGAAACTGAAACTTTAAACACAGGAATGGTCGGTAACGTCTATCCCAATCAAAAGTCATCTATAAAGTTCATCATGGTCGTCAGCATCCTTTCTAGACTTTACAACATATTCTCCAAACACTACCAATGAAATGATTGATGTTACAGTCTGGTGTGGTGTGATCAGTGAGGATGGTTGTGAAGCCGTCAGTCACTATGTTACCTCAAGATGAGCTGCCGTTGGGTCTGAAGCTACTGGCAGCAGGAACGTCAGCATCCTTTGCAGACTTTACGACGTTCCCTCTAGACACTGCCAATGAAATGTTTGATGTTACAGTCTGGTGTGGTGTGATCAGTGAGGATGGTTGTGAAGCCGTCAGTCACTATGTTACCTCAAGATGAGCTGCCGTTGGGTCTGAAGCTACTGGCAGCAGGAACGTCAGCATCCTTTGCAGACTTTACGACGTTCCCTCTAGACACTGCCAAAGTGCGCTTACAGGTGAGACTTTCAGTAAACAGGTTTTTACTCATTCAAAAACTCTAAATGTTCCTCCCCACTGGGAGAATAGATTATACAGAAGAACTTTTGAATTGTCTTTGCTTTGGGCCCTATTCTTCAACTGCATCTGTCTTTCATTTCAAGCTATAGCCCTTTCTGTATTCTCTAGTTCAAGTCCAGGTGCAGAAGAGGCCATTGTGTTTTCCTCTGGAATTCCACTCTAGAGCCTTCATTATATAATTTAGCTGCCAGTTGGTTTTATTTTCTCTCAGTGTAAAGCTTTTTTTCAAATTTCACATTTGTTTAGCTTATAGCATAGGGTTGCCATAAGTGCACACATGTAAAATTAACACACACACAACCGGTACCAAAAATTAAATACAACACTAACATAACACAAAATACACCAACAATCAACAACAACATACACCAACAACAGCACACACAAAGCTAACATCACACACCAAAGCACAACACAACATCAACATTCAGATCAGAATGAAATTTCAAGAGAGAGGCCTTGGACTTTGCAATGACTCCGGCCACCTGTTTAGCTTTGTTTATAGCTCTTGCCTTGTGATAGGCCTACATTCAACCTTTCCTTATTTCCAAACCAAATTGATCAAGGACTGATCCACTTTAAATTCTTGAGTCTTAAATAAGTTTATTTTATCGCAGAGGATATTTTAAACATATAGTTGTATAGTTCTTCTCTTAAACATATTTTTGAGCTGGGGCTTATTTGTGGTAGCATAATTAATATTTGTTTCAGTTTTTCCTTTACCTTAAAAAATGTCTTGAGAGACATGTCAGTCATAGTGTGTGCCAGAAGCTAAGTTAAAGGCATTAAAAATGTTACAATTATCAACAAAATGATTTTTTATATATAAACAAATATTTTGTATTATAAAAAGTATATACCATAAGAATATTTTTGGCATTGATTCATCCACAATATTAGCTAAAGGCAAGCTGGTGCCAGTTTAAAACTGTTAAAAACTACTGACCACGATGAGAATCGAAGCAGTTTTGCAGAATTTATGGAATTCAAATAATGTAATTTAAAAATAAGGTGCAAAACTTCTATTAGACTATTTTTGATTAATCCAACCTGTAATCAAACTAAAAAATTTTATTTTGTTTGTATATGATAAATTTTAGTACATATTTTTCCCCCAACATGTCACGTAATAGAGATAGCTACAAAGCTCTCAGCACTCACTTATCATATTCGTGATGATCTTGTCAATGATGGTGTTAAGTCTGTCATTCGCTTATCAGCTGTGATTTATGTAGGACTTAAAAGAAGCGATAAAAAAATTGGCGTAAACAAGTTAATAGACTGGATAATCTTTATCGTCACTATACTGTACGTGATTCAATTCCTTTGATATCACGGACGATTAATATCAAACATTAGAAATGACAAAATAAATTTTAACAAAAACTAGGTATCTTCTTTATTGTTTTCAACAAAACAACATACTAAACTATTTTCTGTTTACAAAACAATTGAAAAACATATGACTGTTTATATATAATTATTAAACAGTCTTTTGACAAACTTATATGAAATATATTGAGGGGTTTTCTTTATCAATGATTAATCATCGTACGTCAATCATCCCCCCCAAAACCCTCAATATATTTTTTTTTGAAAATTTTAAAACTAGGTGTTAAATTTGGATCTAGATTCATTTCTGCACTTGAACCTGTTTTTCTTGGAATATGTGGTGTTTTTCTTTTTAAGTGTCTTTCTCTTAGAAGGTCTTCCTTTCTTTCTCCGTCCCTCTTCATTACTTCTTTCTTCACTTGCAGATTCCACATATTTTCCACCATTCTTTTTCTTTACTCTTCCACTACCTTCACCATAACTCTCAGACTGGTTGACCTGCCGTAACTTCTGACGATTTCTCAGTTGTAAGTAAAGGTATTCTATCTTTTTGGTCTTCCTTTCCCTTTCCACCTTTTGTTGGTACTGTAACAGACAATGTTGCCTGTTGCAGTGTTTAGGGACCATCTTGTCCCACTGCCTGATCTTCAGTTCTTGCTCCTTCCCTCTCATCGTATCCTTGGCCTCCTCGAAATATTCACACGACGTAACATTGAGTGCAGGTCGTATCTCGGTGTCCTTTGCGGTTGACGTGACCCCAGGAGCATCGGTCCAATGCAGGATCCCATCCTCATCTCCCGAGATGGCTGATGAGTCCTCGACCATCTCTGTTGGCCGCAGGATCTCTTGTCTATCTCCCAAGATGGCTGATGAGTCCTCGACCATCACTGTCCGTCGCAAGATCTCTTCTGCACCTCCTGTGATGACCGTTGAGTCCTCGACCCTCTCTGTTGGCCGCAGGATCTCCTGTCTATCTCCCAAGATGGCTGATGAGTCCTCGACCATCACTGTCCGTCGCAAGATCTCTTCTGCACCTCCTGTGATGACCGTTGAGTCCTCGACCCTCTCTGTTGGCCGCAGGATCTCTTGTCTATCTCTCAAGATGGCTGATGAGTCATCAAACGTCTCTGTCTGACGTAGGATCTCTATACCTCCCGGAATGGCCGATGAGTCCTCAAACGTCTCTGTCTGACGTAGGATCTCTATACCTCCCGGGATGGCAGATGAGTCCTCGGCTAACTCCAAGATATTTTCCCGGTTGTTGAATTTGATTTCATTGTATTTAATTTCGATGTCCGATTTGTCTGTTTCATAGGTGTTAGTAATAAGTTTAGTTTCTAATTTTGATTGGTTTTGGTTTTCCGAAATCTTTTTAATGGAGGATGAAATTACATTTTTGATGCCTGCCAAATGAGTATCCAATTGTTTTGATCGAGTGTCTAACTGTGCCGAAATCTTTACTAGTAACATACTCACCGGGTCTGCTGGTGGTTCTCCTAATTTTGCCATTTCTTCTTAAAATCCTGTCACGGTCGCCAATTGATATCGTCACTATACTGTACGTGATTCAATTCCTTTGATATCACGGACGATTAATATCAAACATTAGAAATGACAAAATAAATTTTAACAAAAACTAGGTATCTTCTTTATTGTTTTCAACAAAACAACATACTAAACTATTTTCTGTTTACAAAACAATTGAAAAACATATGACTGTTTATATATTAATTATTAAACAGTCTTTTGACAAACTTATATGAAATATATTGAGGGGTTTTCTTTATCAATGATTAATCATCGTACGTCATCTTTAGAAAAGAAGATTATGATTACCATGTGTGCTTATGGAAGAGCTTAGAAACAAGTCATTTAAAATTTTATTGTTGGGTAAAATATAATCCAATCACTAAATGCAGACTGCTCGATTTGCAGAGGAACGCGGCAGGACAGAGTTCCGGTACCTCTCTTTCGGGAAAATAAAAATATTGGCATCATTAGGTACATAAATAGGTACAAATCACATTAAATAGGATACAGTTCCGGCACTTAATTTTTTACAAACCGACCACTGACTAAATGTGTTAACATTTACTTGACAATGCTTTGTACCTAGAGCTAATAAAAGTTTCTCAATTAATTAGTAAGTTTTCAATTTTAAAAATATCGTACCTTTTCAGATCCAAGGGGAGGCCAAGACACTGACCAACGTAGGATCAAACATGGTGTCCGCCGCGACTCAGACCCAGTACCGAGGGTTGTTTGGGACCATCGCCACCATTGTTCGCACTGAGGGGCCACTGTAAGTGTACAAGTTTTATTTCAGATCAGACTTACGGAAAGGCTATGTAAACTTTTACACAAACTGTGCTATTGACATGCTTTCTTGACATAATAGATTTTCCCTTACAAACATTTCTCCCTGTATACACATTCGATTGTAGACACACTGCCTTTGTACTGCCCCTTTATAGACATCTATCCTTATAAATATGCTGTCTTATAGATTTACTCACTTATCATACTTCCTTATACACACCTCATAAACACTAGGAAATACTTTTTATTAACAAAATTCAAGTTTTAGTTACCTTCTTATGGACATGTTCTCTTATGGCTTCATTATATACAAAATGATACTCTTTTATAAATTTTCCATCCTCATAAGCATCAGATTAATGTATATTAGGTTAAAATTGTTCTTAAAATTCTAGGATGTTACAAAACAAGTAGGCCTAAACATCTACTATACAGCAAAAAAATTCCTTACCAACCTTTCATAAGCTTACTTAACATATATATTGATACACACAAGGCCCAAACAAACATCACAATGAATAATTCTAATAATTACCTTCAAAGTCTTTAGAAGAGAGTGTTATATCAATGAACCAACTGAGAAGTAGTACTGTAAGTGGACAGTAGACCAATGCAGGGGGATGTTTTGTTGTAGAGGCCTGTTCAACGGACTTTCGGCCGGCCTTCAGCGACAGATGTGTTTCGCATCTGTTCGACTTGGCCTTTACGAAACAGTCCGGGACTTTTACACTGGCTTGGCCTACGGTAAATATCCTCCTGTAACAGTGGTAATTTTTGTCAGACGTAATAATGATTTGTAATGTAGTAATACTGAATAGTTGGGTAAAGTGGTTATGCTCGCCGAGTAATCAGAAAGTATGGAGCCGGTTTGATCCTTTCTGATATTTCACGCAAAAAGCTCAAAACATACTGACACTGATGCAAATGAGGCTTCTTCAGTAATAAGTTCAAGGGAACAGATTGTCATAGGAACAAAGATATACATGGCAATCCATGTATGTTGGCCTCAATCCATTTTTTGCACCTATTCTTCGTTCAACTTGGATGAGGAAACCTCAGCACAAATGGGGCATTTATAAGGGAATGGGAACTTATATCCAAAGCAAAAAAATAATTCAATATCCTTTACAATCAAAGATTATTTTTGTTTAAAACAGTTATTAGATAAAAAGTGATTTACCTACCACCATCCCGCAGCTTACAATTATAATAAACTCAGCCTATTTTAAATCCATATAAACTGTTTTGTTTCTTGTTTACATTCTTACTGTGGTAAACTGGATCAGCTGTTAAATTACAATTGACAACTGTTGAAAAGAAAGTTGGTCAGCATCACTAAATCTTTAGAAGCAGAATAAATAAATCACTAGGGAGCAAAGTCCAAGGAAATTACCTTTTTAGTTACCATTCGTCAATCTGCTAGACCTTATATTTAAATGGCACCTCAATCATAAAAATCAGTTAAGTAGCTAGCTAACTAACCTTCATGGCTATAAATTTAAAGAGATAAATTGATTCATCAAAGAAAATCAAATGCACCTTTGCAAGTAACATTGACCTTTTGATAAGAACATTTTGATAAAGAGTAGTTCGCATCCTCAAAAAGTAACCTTGATCAAAGATTGAATAATATCACCCACAAAAATGTTACTAACAATAAGATATTGTTTTGATGAACTTTGAAGTGTATGCTTACTGATTCATTTGCCCTCTTTTTAAAGTAGACTTTGTAATGTTTATCATTGTGGTTTCGCTTCACAGTAAAGATTTTTAGATTTACTTAAGCGTAAACAATAATCTGAATGCAAAGGACATTTTAAACTCATACTTACGAGGGAGTGCTTTGTACTGAAGCTTTTAGTAATCAGCTTTAACATTATCAGTCAATTTGTTTCCTTTCTTTTTAAGTTAAAAAAATGTATAATTTGACTACATTTTAATCCAGTCAATCCAGCAAGCATAACTGAATGTTCATTTTATGTTTCAATGTTTCATTCAGTTACCCTAGGTACACATTTGAGCTGAATATGGATGAAGGTTGTAGAATTTGAAGTGGGATGTGTGCTCTTTAGTCAGAACTGTAATTTATTAGAAGTCCAATGTTAAGGAGGAATAAAGCCCAGTTTCAAGGAATGAAAAAGCCATTGACTTTTTCTCATTGAACCATCAGCGATCTTTAATTTTCTGGACTATATAACTACTCAGTACCCAACTATCTAGCCAACTGAACATTTTTGCATTTACTTTCTGCCTATCTTTACAACCGCACATCCAAGTATGTGAATTTCTCACGTAAAATAAAAATACATAGTTAATGCATTAGAGACTAATTGAAAGAAAAAAATTATTCCTACTTATCTAACCTATCAAGAATACAATATTGTAATTAAGACTTCTTGAAAAATCACTGAAAAAGTATTGACTTTCCAGGCAACTCAAAAGATACAGGTTTGAACCTGGTGGTGCGTATTGCAGCAGGCAGCACGACAGGGTGTTTAGCAGTGTTGATAGCGCAGCCGACGGACGTGGTCAAGGTTAGGTTCCAAGCCCAGTTGCGAGCGGCTGGCACAGCGGCTAGATACACCAGTACCATGGAGGCTTACAGAACCATTGCGGTCACGGAGGGAGCCCGCGGACTCTGGAAAGGTACCTGAGAAAGTTACGGCTTGCATTGTACTTGCAAAAAGGCTATAACCTCTTGTAAAATATCGAGACTGATTACTATTTACGTAAACATTGTAGAATTTATTTCTCAACAAAACGCCAATGTATAATATTGTGCAAATCAGAAGTTACACAGATACACCATATGACAAAATTTGCCATCCAACATTTTTTCATATATCCACACTTAGTACAAGACAGTAAAGGTATACAAAAGATGTCACCCAGAGCAAGAGAATCAAAATAACACCCTTGTTTGAATACCACTGGTCGCTAGAGGTTTCAGAAACAAAGCCTGAAAGAATCTGGTAGAATTTAAGTTGAATTGTTTGTACAAGGTGCGGAAAAAAACCGATCTATTTTCTGCAGTGCACTGTACAGGAACAGGTCGTCTGAGGGTGGTGGGGTTAGGCTTGTTGGAAAGCCTACACAATGCCATTATCTGTAGTCATAGAGCAGTGGTCGCCTGACACTCATCTCCATTCATACTTGGCTTAAAATACCTACATTGTATGGTCGCCATTTCATAAGAAAGTATTAAAGTATTAAAGTATTAAAGTATTAAAGAGATATGTGCGTTTGTTATCGAGTTGGTTTAAAAAGTAATAATTAATTCATTTCAACTCAGCAGCATTTCCATGCACCTTTCAATAAGGGTGACATAATTTGTTGCATGTGATGTACTCTAGGCCCCTCGATACCTCAATCCCTTCCTTGCACCCCCCCCCCCCCCCCTACAAACCTAAACCCTCCCTCTCGTAACCCTGGGTTCGAGCTCACCGGCCCATTTATTATTGACTGATCATAACCAGTGAGACTAAAATCCTTATTTATGATCTTATATTTGTCATTATAAGTGGAGATGCACCAAAACTGGAAGACTATTCAATAATTTAACTTATATTCATATAATATTGCAAACATGTAAAATGGGACAGTCAAGAAGTTACTTAATAAAAAGTTTTAATTTTTTCTTATTTTTTCAGGTACATTTGCCAATTGTGGGCGTAACGCGATAGTGAACGTGTCAGAGATTGTTTGCTACGATATCATCAAAGAGACGATCATCAAGAACGGCCTCATGACAGACAACGTACCTTGCCACTTCACCTCTGCCTTGGCAGCTGGTTAGTGTTATCATTGACAACGGTGTTATCAATTGTGTTAACTACTAAATTCACTTGATGCAATCTTGTGTGTGGATAGAACTATACATTTCATTCTAATGTTAAAGTTGTATTTAGAATTAAAATTCACACAGATGATTTGAGCCACTGATGAAGTGTGCTATGTAAATCACCCAGGCCCGCAGTTTGCATGTGATATACTCTAGGCGTGAGATAATTGTGCCCCTCTCCACCTATTTTGTGTGGGGAATTGGATTTCTTCCTTGCTGGTGTTCTTCCTTGTTGGGTGGTCCCAACAAACCTAAACCCTCTCGCACCCCTGGGCTCGAGCCCATTTTTCAAAGCGGCCCTGAAATTACCAATTTCTGCAGCATACACCAACCATTTAACCAATCCCATAATCTGAAATGACAAACTTTCACTCTAAAGTTGCATTGTTAATGTCACATCAACAATATTAGCAATATTTAAGGAGGAAAACATACTTTTAGAATGTAGAACAATCTGTGAGTGGCTTTTGATCCTCAATTTTAGAAAGAGAATTGAAGAAGAATATACTTGAGCTACCCTTAATTCAAACCCTCATTGAATATTTGAAAAGTAATCACAAGCATGTGAGCTGTATCTAGTGGGGCCTTGGCTGTAGTCAGAGATTTGTAGAATATTTTGTAACATCATTTCTGTGTATTACCAGCTGACTCCTTATCCAGATCTAATTTTTCATTCAAACAAAATCCAATTCGACAACTGATTTACATGTAATACAACTTTGTAACTTCCCTCCAAGCTATTATGGTCTTTTGCATGGTGGAAGGAAAATACATAGGTGTGCTATTCCCCTCATATTCTGACGTCACTCGGATTGCAAACAAAAGATCTTGTAACTGCCAAATTAGTATGTATTTGTTTTGATTTGATTGTTATTGTTTTTTGTTTTTTTTTATTATTAAACACTCATTATAAATTATAAATTTGTTGAATGGTTTTCCTACGCATTACTTCCTTCCTTCAAGAAATTGCAGAACACTTTTCTTGCAAAGAAACCCTATGTAGTCCTGCACAGTAGGCCTAGTTAAATTGGAAACATTTTCCACCATATCATACCACAACATGTATGACTAAATCGATCATACTAATGTCCAGGTTTCTGCACGACCTTCTTCGCGTCACCTGTGGATGTAGTCAAGACAAGGTTTATGAACTCCAAGCCAGGCACTTACACAGGAGCCATCAACTGTGCAGTCAGGATGTTTAGACAAGAGGGTTTCTCAGCATTCTACAAGGGGTGAGTTTCCGTCCTTGAAAGATGCTTAATAATGCCTGAAAGTTTCATTACAATCTGTCAAGCGGTTTCGGAGTCCATAACGTATATATACACAACGTATATTTATATATACATAAATAGTTCCTCTTTTATAGATATAGATAGAGCTCTAATTTGCTCATGTAAGCTCTATTGTAGCTGAACTCTATTCCTTTCCAAAATATTCTTTATATTTTTTAATTTTTGTATGAAAATTTCGCTGATTTCAGATTCGTGCCTTCGTTCTGCCGTCTGGTCAGTTGGAATATAGTGATGTGGCTCACGTATGAGCAGGTGAAGAAGTTTATGATTGAGAAGAACCAGGACTACAAGGACAGAGTCGCTCTTTTGTATCACTGAGATAAGGTTATGAATATCAATCACACGTGTTTACCATAAAACATCAATAATTGGAAAACTGAATAAATGGACAAGTAAATGACAACTTCAGGGTTGTTTTAGAAATTGTTGCAGCATTGTCTATCATGCACTTGGTAAAAAATAGGTTATCAGTATGGTTAAAAACATCCTTAAATCTTGTGTTAACTACCCTAGCAAAATGTTGCAATCATTTTTAAAACAATATGAACTCATCTGTAATTAAGAACTTTAGAGTACAGAGTTTTATTCACTGACGACAAAATGTATTTGGTTACTTTAACATCTTAAACTTATTTGATTCTACTAGTTAATATTTAAAATAACTGTACTTGAGGTTTTTCTGACCAATACGTAAATTATTTTTGTAAGATACACTCATAAATTTGCCTTCAAAGATCAAGTAACATTTATTATTCAGTATTCATTTAATGAAGTATGTTATCCCTTTTTTACATTGTATTATTTATTATTAAATTATTCATTATTGTAACCATTCAAAAGGTTTTAATCTTTTTTTTCAAAAGAAATATTTCATTATGCATTTTCATAAATTCAAAAAATATTCCATAACTCCATTATGTTTGTCTTTATATTAATTTTATTTATTTCCATAATATTTTAGGAACTACAAAAGTGTAAGGTTTGAAGTGTTTGTTGTATAATATTGTAATAGGTAATGTGATAACATTTGTGATATAGAAATAAGTCTTGACAATAAGAGTATTTTATGTATGCAAATGTGTAAAAATGTGAATATATGTTGTTTTTATTATTAAATGTTTATAGAGATTAAATGATTATATTTACTTCTCTATTAACTAGTCTTTTAATGGCTTTAACCATTTCCTTTAAACAATGTACTAGTCTTAGGGTCGTTTAGTGGTCACAGCTGGGCTTCAGTCTTGGTGTCCTTGGTTCAAATCCTGCCAATCACCAAAGGGTTTTATATATGTGATAATATTAATAAATAATACACCATAGTATATGTGATAATATACCGTGGCCCAGCGGTTATGAGTCAAAGGCTGTAAAGCAGTTTATCAACTAGTCAAAAAAGGTCTCTCACACGGAAAAAAAATTCTGGAATTACAGAATTGGGAAAACTCCCAAAAAGCTATAACCAATACAATGGCCATCAAGAGTAACATAACCACACTTTCTTTCACTTACAAGTTACAATCATCAATAAAGCCGTGTTTACACACAGCCAGTAGGAAGGCACGTTACCTGCCCCTAGTGTATTTCAAATTACCTGAGACAGGTAACGTGCCTGCAACTGGCTTTGAGTAAAGGGACCTTAGTAACTTAAACTAAACTGCTTGATTCTATCAACTGACATGTGCTGTAATATGGTCGTCAAATGAAGTTTGATTTAGGTTGGCCATTTTTAGTGGGAGATCATTTTTGGTGTCATCAACGGTTTTGTGTCTTCCAGGAAACAGCAGTGTAGATTAGGATTCAAACCCTTTCTCTGTCAGGGTTAGTGTTCAATTCATGATGAGTTCACCCGTCTGTGGTAGAATTGGTGAGAGAGGAGAGGTCTACCTAAATTAAAGGTTCAGGTGGTTTCCTTTGTGGACATCATATAAATCAAAGAGAAATACACAGGGCTCAAAAGTTTACCTTAGGATCTTAAAGGTTAAGCAAAGGAAGTTTATAATATTAAAACTAAACTATAATAATATGTTTGACATTTTACACATACATTTTGTTATCTGTCAACAGAATCTTTATCTCTCGCATCAAAGTAAGAACACACATCAGCTTGGTCAATAAGAGTCATTAGGCTTGGTAACAATGCATTCTCAATCACCGGAAGTACTTTTGCGACAAAATGTCCATAAAGTAAAGTTTTTAGTTTCTGATACAATCCTTCAGTGCCACTCAACCCCTCCACTGTTAATGACATAGACTTATCAGATATACAATTGAAGTTGACCCGTTTAACGCTACAATCACTGTTGTCATAGCTCGTCGACAACTCTATCACAAGTTGAAAAGCGTTGTTGGTGAAAGTGAACGAACATCCTCCTAGGTACGATGAATCCTCACTGTAAAAGTCATAGCTTTCCTTCAACACTTGAAACTGAAGTTTCTGTACGATAACTATCTTCGTGTCTGTATCCTCGGATATAAAAGCGTTCCCGACTCTCTTCAAGGAGTCTAACCGCGACACATATGCATTTCTTCCAAACACCTTGTGTTCGGTTTCATTGTTGCTGTCTTCGAAATAAGTTAAATTCAGGTATTCGTCTGTTAGAGAGAGTGTTTTTTTATCTTCCAAGGTCACAAGCAAGGAGAGTTTTCTAAATATTTTGTCCATCGCTCGATTTAACGTTTTAGTCAAAGGAAACACTCGGTCCACAGTTAGCATCTCACTGGTGTCCAAGTTGCGCTCGCTGCTGTCACTGTCAAAGTTGCTGAGGCGGCTGTCGGATATGTCAACTTTCCTGTCGATGTCGCAAGATCTTTTTGCAGATGAGAGATCCTTGGAGGAGTATTTCAAGTGGGGATTTCTGATTATGACAAGCCCCAGGTATATTGCTAAATATCCCAAAACAGGCCATTTCACATACTCCAGCATTATCTGTCTTTCTTGTCACTGTAATACAATTTACAATTGTAAATACACAGCTAGCTTCAAATAAGTAAAATAATATTAATACAGGATCAAATTATATTGGTGATTGATATTAAAAATAGTTTAAATACCTGCTATTAGGAAATGCATTCCATTGTAGAAGCAACTAGTTTCAGTCCTATGTAGGGCACATCAGGCGGCAAAGAGCATTTGAATTATCTTCACATGAAGATTGTCAAATTTAAAACACACAAAAGTAATCAATAAAAAAAATAGACACACACGATGTGCATGGTACATTTAGTAACTGAGTAAACGAATGATGCTAACCCGGCAGAGTTGAGTACAGAACATAACAAAATACTTCTTATGTGTACCGTGTTTTAAATGTTACAATCTTCATAAAAAAAGTCCTTGACTGATGATGGCTCCATGTATTGCCTAATAACAGATATTTAAACCAATTTTAATATTATTTGGCAATCCAGAGGTTAACATTTACTATCTACATCATACATTGTATTCTTTTAACGAAATATAATTTTTTTAAGTATATTACATGCATTGTGTATGGTAAATGGTATCTTGGACTTAGTTTCTCGATTTAATAAACAATGGATTTGAAATTATAAATAACAAAACAATTAATTCAACAGCTGTGAATAACTTTTAACATTATTAGTGCAGTCCACATGTTTAAACATTACCAGGTTATAAGTTCCATTTATTTCAATGTTAAGCAATAGCGGGAATTCCCATCATCAGCACTCAACGTGTTAAATAGATTCTAGATATATTTAGATCTACTGTATCTATTATTAGTTACACTGTTAACAAGTTCTTGCAAATTAAAATATGTATTAACAATTAATTGTGCACAGTGAGTGACTTACCATTAGCTTTTCTTTTTTTGTTTTCTTCTAAAACATCTGCAAAATATTATTCGACTGATAACAATATTTTTTATCGTTTGCTTCATCTATTGCTACCGACTACCCGTCTAGTTGAAAACTTATTGTTTTAAGAAACAATTTCTTAACAGCATCAATGACCCAACTTGTTTAACAATAACTAACGACTTTTACAAATCAGATTAGTAACATCTTATCATCGCTGCATCTGGTGACAAGTGATGAGCTAATATGTTATGTTGCATGGCTTGAACTGAGTAATATTCTTTGGTAATAAACCTCCTAATCAACATTGAGATTTATCAACACAGCATACCCTGACATAAATTGGAACTTTTTTTGGAAAAAATCTACGTTTTGTGTTGTTAGAAGAAAGTATGGTCAAAACTCATAAGACTCATAAAACACAATACAGTATACAGAATTTCCTTTTTTTCTCCATGAATTATAACTATGGGATTAAATAAACACAAAACAGGTTTTGAGGATAAAAAGTCAAACTTGTGAAAAAAGGAATTTATTTCAATACTGATAAGTCTATATTCTATGAGCAAATAACAAGCGGATAGTCACAACCTTATTGTTTCTAAGTAAATGAAAATAATCCAAATTTATTTTACAATATATTGTATATTTTAGTTTATTAAAAATAACTAAAACCATTGTTAGTATAACGAATTGGACATACTATTGTTTTCAAGAAGCATAAGTAAACAAGTTATATTATAAATTTTAAATGTACTTTAAAATTGTAAAAGACATGTTACTTAATTATTATAAAATTGTTACCGGGTTTATGAACAAATAGGCTACAAAGATAAATACAATAAATCGTTAAAAATATCAAAATACAGAAATTCTATACCTAAATGGCAGTTATGCAATTATGGATATATTTTGATTTGTAAAAAAAACTTCTATTCTTTTGTCCATATCACTTAATTTTGATATGGTAATTTCAAACATTTGTGACAATTGCTGTTTTTTATAATGTTAAAATTAGCTAATTGTTTCAAGGTAGGTAGTTACCGTGAAAAGTTATTTTAGCACTTTATGCACAAAAATTAAATCTTTGACAGGTAAAACATTTTGTCTTGAGATGTGGTGGTTACATTAATACTGATGACAGTAAGTGTATTTTCTACCCTGTACAGTTAAAGTGATCAATGTAAAAATTCTCAGAACCTTTGCAGAAACATAAATTAAAAAGCATCACTCCTAAAGAATGCAGCAAATTAATAAATTATTTATACATACAAAAATCCACGTTAAATATCACAAAGGACATGACAAACAAAAACTCTTGCAGCTAAAAACACCTTATAAGAAAGTGCTTATAAATAAATTACTTTACTTTGGATAAATTTGTTTACTTAGCACGAAGGAATTTTCGCACAATGCTTGCCATTTAGGCTCTTCCTTGCGATTGTATAAAACTTTATAGTTTGATGGACATCGATGGGGATGTAACATTCGGTATTCTACATGTCTCTAACAATCCGGCCCAATAAATGATTACTGGATATTATTAACCGTCGAATTGAAACACACGTAAAAAATACCTTCAAGAATCAACATTAAGTTTTAAACGACTCTGCTATTTTACAGTGAGACCAACTTCAATCCAACAACAAAATACTGAGTAATTTCAATGCATTTATGGTAATTATAGTAATTTAAAGGTATTCCTTAGCTAAGATTGAGCCCATTACAAATAAGCTGAAACCAAGCTGTGAAACGTAACTTCTTGTAATGTAAGTTAATCCTACTCTTTCCTTAGCCACATAAACAATTCAGCATAGCAAATTTTTTTTAGAGAAAAAGTATTTTTTCTTTATTTTTCTCAATAGAAAATGTTAATTGAATGTTACTTCGCTAGTGCTAACTTAAAGGTTAGGGTCTCAGACTTTGCTGTTAGAATAACAAGTTGAACTTTCAGAACATTGACAAGAAAATTTGGAGAGTTGGACCAATTCATTTTAAGTGTTTAGGGTTTTCTCTCATAAAATGCTTATTTGAAAATATCAAAACAAAATAAGGCAAACAGCATAATTAGGCATAAGCCAATCAGCTAAGAGATCAACAATTCAACTAGACGTAGGAACCACAGCAAACCTTCCACTAGTGATTCCTTTGTTCGAGTATCCAACTCGGAACGGAATAAAATTGAGTAGCGAACGATGACATTGAGTAGTTACAGTCACAATTTAGAGATTTGACCTAAAATGTACAATTGTGTGCTACACTTAATTTATACCACATACAAACAAAATACCAGTATATGGTACAATACAAACAATCCATGGTTAAAACATTTCTATCACGATAGAGTAAAGAGACCAAACATCTAGATTATTTTAGATTCAGTCTAATTTTAAACATATGAAGCGTAAAGTAACCACAATTTTCAAAACCAAGCCAACCATAATAAACTCAATCTAGAACAAAATTAAATTTATTCACACATTAATTTTTATCATTCCAAAATCAAAGGCTGAAATATGAACACAGTTTTTGAGATTAAAAACACAGATTTGTCTAACTTGACATTGAAAACACATAGCTCTACAAATGCAAAAAAGCTTAAAACAATTGACAGCGTGGAAATGTCCAAAGTTAGATTAGGAGACTTCGTCCTCATCGTTGCTCTCAGAACTAGAGTCGGAGTTTTCACCAGCTTCAGGCAGAGAAATCTGACTGGCCTCCGTCCCTAAGGACAACCTGTAACATGTTTTAATGTTGCAACATAATCTTGCTTGTTAATATTTTATAATTTTACAGGCTAAAATTCACTAATTCTTTTTATGAACTGAATTGTTAGAGTGGCGAGCGGAATTAACATTAGAACAATTCTCCACAACCATCGATTTTGCTATTTTGTGCAAACACCTCAAAATTGATAAAATAAAACGATTCCTTACCCAACCACAGTTGCTGGTATGACGATTAGTTTTGTTCCTTAGAACTTTATCAGGTAATTTTGTATGCAACCACATCATCAATGTATTAATACATTGTGGCATAGCAATAGATCATTTGAAAAAAAGCTGTTTCCGTCACAATAATTGAAACTTATCATGTTTGTAAATAGTTTAAATGGAATACAAGTTTATAAAACTGATTAAAGCTGTAAAGGCTGGCCAGCACAGTCTATCACTGCCACTGACTAAATAAAACTGACTGAATCATGATGTTTCTTCTTCTCTCCAGTGCCACCTGTCTTTCAGTTTGTTTGCTCTTCTTATTTTATGCTTCTTTGATTTGTAACTTTTCAATATATCAAATATAATATTTGACTAAAAAGAAGTCTGATCATTTACATGGGTCGAATATTTTAGATTTGTAAATAGTAAATTCTTCTTTAACATCAAGCTTAAAACCTTTTGGTAACACTTCAACCATTACCAAATAAGTTCTTATCCATCAAGGTTCTGTTCTTATCAATAGGTGTAGAGTTGTGTGATTCCGATATTAACACTGGATAACTGGATAAATCCAGTTATAATTCGGCATAACTGGATAATGATGGATAGTAGTGATCTTTTAGGTATTTTACTATTGCGATTTTGAAAATTTTTTAAAGAATCTATTGGCATACGACAATTTATTAATATATTAATTATGTGGTTGCATACAAAACGACCTGATGAAGTTCTCAGGAACGAAACTAGTCGTCATACCAACAACTGTGGTTAGATAAGGTAAATATTTTATTTTGTCAATAATATATTCCAACCAAAGGTCACAATGAATAATACCTCAAAACTGCTGTTAGATCTCATTAAATGTACGTATTCAGATTAACGGATGAGTGGGAGATGATTTCAATCTCTCACACTACGCTTACGACATAACATCCTAATCGACAAAATTTTTACCAACTTCTTTCATGGTCTGCCACATTTTTTTCCACAGAGTAGTAAGGTACAGAGGAAACATTCAATGGTGCACTTAATTAGTGTCTAGCACTAGTGCTGGATTCTAGGGCAAAGTCCAACACTGCCCCTCTCGCCCTCATGTACTACAATGCTCACGGTGGAGGAAGATCCTGTGCCCTAGGAATTTTCGGGGATGCGGAATACTACCCTCCGGAAAGGAAAACCACCCCCCAGGTGAAACGTGACGTCACGAAATCTGTAAACTAACCAATATCCTAGCCATGTCCGCGACTGGAATACTACCCCCCTAGCAAAATGTGATGCTATGTAATTGTAATTTTTAATCGATTAATTCCGTTAGATAACAGAAAAGGCATGTGGGGAATATCATTTAGAATTTTGAAATGTTACAGCAAGTTTGGTTGGTTAGGTTAGTTTAGTTTAAAACAGTATGACAACAAAACTTGAGTGTCTGTGACTGGAAAACTACCCCCTCGATCTCTGAAATCAGCATGACGTAGGAACCTGCTTGGGGGGTAGTTGTCCGGGGGGCAGTCTTCCGATGACCCTAATTTTCGCACAATGCTCGCCATTCGTGCTCTTTCTTGCTTGTCATAAGTAGAGCTTATAGATTTTCGGCACAACATACCACAGCTAAAAGCGCATGGTCGTTTCATTAGCAAGTTTTCTCTGTACTAGTATGAATACTATCTGTGGCACTCTCTGTGGTAGTATTCAAGACCCAATACTTCAACAACATACCAAATAAATAAGAAAAAAATTATAAATTGATGTCAATAGCAAATCGCTCAACTAATTTTGAGTGTATAGTAAACTATTGCTTCTCATATGGTTTTATTGATAAATTTTGATTGTATTTGTATTTTCTCTTTACTCACGTAGTGTCTACACTCGAGTTCTGAGCAGACTGTTGTCTCCAGCTGGTTTCTTCTCTCAGACTTGCTATAGCTCCACACAAACTGCTGCCAACCTCCTTCAGATGAGAGGTGTTCAGGTGGTTACCCTGTGAAATTCATTTACATTTTTCAGATTAAAATTGGGTTTTTGTCAGATACAACAAAACTTTCGTTACAGTGCTCGCCCACTAAACAAAATGAATCTAATCCAGCGAAGAGGCTGTGATTTTTATAGTAAAATCAATATTTCAATATTACTGGTTACTTACTAGGCTTAAATCAACAATGTCTAAATAGACAGCAGTCAGTCAGTAACACAGCTGTAAAAATCATGTCTACAAAACAGACGATTTCAGAATAGTTAGGTATAACCTTTGACTATTTAGACAACAAGAAATTTCATT